CCTTGAAGATGTGACAGGTGAAGAATTTGTTCTGTTCATGAAGATACTATCAGGGTTAAAAAGCTTACAGACAGTGAGTGGCAGGCAGCAACTTGTGGAGTTGGTGGCCGAGCAGGCTGACCTGGAGCAGACCTTCAATCCCTCAGATCCCGACTGCGTGGACCGGCTCCTGCAGTGCACTCGCCAGGCAGTGCCCCTCTTCTCTGTAAGTGGTTTACTATTCCTAGTTCACCGCTTGATTACTGTATTACCTTCCTTAACATGCTTTTTTATTTTCTTGAAGACCAGTTAGATTATGGACATGTTATAGTGCAGCTCATTTGAAGTCTGTGAGTCCATTTTATCTCGCCGATTGTTTCTGTGGGAAAATATACTCCATTTTGGGGGTTTTGTTTCCTGTGGCAGTGGAACTGAAGGATGTGCTACCCTACGTATAAAAAATACAGTTTAAAAGACATGTTCTTTGCATTGAGAAGTTTCTCCCACAATTTGTTCAGAGAATCTTGGAAGAATTCAGTTCAATGTAGTTGAAAGATATTCTGCTGTTTGAGAGTTGTTTGATTTTTGTTTTCTTTTTTATGTTTGGCAACTCAATATTTTACTTAGTCTTTAATTTTTTTTTTTCTTCCAGAAAAATGTTCATTCTACAAAATTTGTGACTTACTTCTGTGAGCAGGTTCTTCCTAACCTCAGTTCCTTGACTACCCCTGTGGAGGGTCTTGACATACAGTTGGAGGTAAGAGAAAATCCCAGATTTGAGCCCTAAAAGGACATTCTGGTGTTTGTTTTTCATAGCAAGACTTACTAGTGCACTCTTTCATTGAGCTGTTGAAGGGTGACATACAGATTGTTTCCAACATTCCTTCGATGTTTGGGGTTTCTTTGCCTTGAGTGTGGGTACAGATGCACTCAGTGGGATAGTTGCAGGCCTCTCTGCCTTTTCTACACTGGCATGTACTAAATGCAGTCTTGGATCTGGTATGATGGTTATGTGCTGGGTGATCCAAGAAGGCTTTTCCGTAATCACAACACTCAAAACATTTTGCACCAGGAGGATAGCACACTTAACCTAGACTCTGGCTCAGGGTTGTACCTTGGTGACTGCCTTCTGTATTTTCACAGAGGTTCTCTTGTATGATGTTTCAAATATTCTCCTTGGTTTATATGTTTACCTCTCCTGCCAGGCAGTTTGACCATGTCTCATACAGAGAAGGCTTCCATCATCCCATCCTTGATCAAATCCAGCAAAACCCATTCTTTCTTACTAAACACCACAACCATGTCCTCTGTGGGCACTACTTTAGTGACTTGAGAAACTATGGTACATTCATATAATGGAATACTGTATAGCACGAAGGAGCAAAGATTTCATAAAATACTGTATAACATGAGTGAGATTAGAGAGTATTTTGCTGAGTGAATTAACTCAGTCTCATAAGGACAAATACTGTGTGAGGCACTGTCTGGACAGATATATAATGATTGGTCCATACAGCTGTTCAAATCCTTTCTTAAAATCTGGATTTTCAAGGCCATCCTAGATTTGCAGCTGACTTGACATCTTGCACCCAGCGGAAGCAGGAACATGAAAATGCTGATGTAGGATCTCTATTTTCAGGTTCCAAATAAAATCTTAAACCACTGCTTCACTAAATGAAGTCTAATTTCTAAGCTAGTCAGTAACCTCCTACCCAGGATGAATTGCATAGGGACGCTTTGTAGATTCAATTCGAATTTATTGCAATGGAAAAAACCTTGCCTTTTTGTTATCATTGTAGTCATTGGCTACTTTTGTGTCCTTAATATATAAGATATTTAATTTGCTAATACTTTGCATCCCTGTCTGTAATTTATGGAATCAGACCTATTACACCTTCAGACAACGATAAAGTGCATATACCTTTTTGAGAGCATTTTGCTGATTTCTCTATGAATTTCTAAATCCAGTTCAGCTCCTGGACCTAAGACATTTGTAATAATGACTGCTTAGTTGAAAGGAAATACATCCCAGGGAGAAAGAAATGTCTGAGTGTGCACCAACACTGGTTTGCTTCAGATGTTCTGGGCCACACTTGTTACATGGGATAAGTAAAGCAGAGATGACCCTTGCGAATAATGGCAGTTAACCAGTACCTCGAGTTAATCTCCATAAACTAACAGTAAATGAGGCCCACCTTAATTTTTTGCTCTCAAGAATACTCAACTAAATATCTCTATGATAAACAGACTGTCAAGATTAATTCATGTTGTTGTCTTTTTTTTTTCTTTCTCTTCAGTAATATCAATAATAATCTTTCGCAGAAAGTGTCATATGTGTTCTTTTCCTTACAAATATGATGGGAATCATAATCTGAGTTTTAGGGTCTGCCTTATCACCTTCATGCATTGTGACTTTGCCACATCACAAAATCCTCCTAATCTCTCACTTCTTTACCTGTAAAATAAAAACTTGAATCTTTGACATTTTTGGTTTGTCAGATACAGGTCTGTATAATTGAAAATAAGTAAAGTCTTATTTATCCAAAATCATTCTAATTTTACAGTCTGGTCATTCAAAAAATAGTAATAACCACTTGAATTTTATGTTTTAGGTATTGAAATTGTTGGCAGAGATGAGCTCATTTTGTGGTGACATGGAAAAGCTAGAGACAAATTTAAGGAAACTGTTCGATAAGTTGTTGGTAAGAATTTTTTTCTTTCCTATGGCATACTTGGTATATACCCCAATGTCTGAAAAGTTAAGATAAGTTTCCAGATTCTAAAGACCCAGCTTTTGAAATTTAAATAAAACTACTTCTGAAAAGCATTGCTAATTGTTTAGGGCATATGCTGACTACTTGAGTAGTTCTAAGTTTCATTATAGATTTTGTTTTAATTTTATTTTTTACTATCTTTTCCAGATAAAGGTTGCCTTTTAGAAAACCCCCAAACTGTACTAATTTTTGGCTTTGGTTTTCTATGGCTCATGCTTTGCATACAGTCTTACAAGATATTTTTATATTCATGTGAAAAAAATGAGTCTTGATTCTACTGATTGTCCCAAATTGTCTCAAAGCTCAGATTAGCATTACAAAGTTCTTTACAGTTGTTTTAGGTCTACCATCAAGGTAACTCCCAAAACCAAGTAGGTTTAGCATCAGAAAATAAACTCTTCTTTAAATCCAATTAAGTGAGGCAGTCTTATCATCACCAGTGATTTTCTGGTTTGGTCTGAGCACTTGTAGAAATGACTGAGAAAATCCATGCCAAATTGGGCAGTTAGACAGAATTGATTCAATCAAATCTGTGGTTCTTTCAGATCTGTAATACCATAACACTGAGAGTGGATACTTTTGGCAGTGCTTTGAATGCATATAAAGTCAGTAATAAAACTATATAGACTAATGTTGATAAAATATTTTTTTATATTATTGGAGGGTAATGATTAAAAGAATCAATCCTAAATTGAGTACTGACTCTTCAGCCTAACTTTTCACCTTTGAGCAATTTCCTAAGCTTAATGAATCTCAATTCCTTTCTCTGTTACAAGTGTCTAATGAACATGAGCTACTTTGAAATCATTGGTATGGATGTGTAACATAGGGGAGTTGGCAAGCTTGAGCAAGGGTCTGTAGGAGAAAGAGAAAGCCTTACGGTTCTTATCTTGGTAAATTTTGATAATTCATGTCTTAGAACACCCTATCGTAGCCAGAATGTGTATGTACAATTAGGAGTATTTTTGAAAATGACAAACGCCTATACTTTGATACCTTAGGAGTACATGCCTCTCCCACCAGAAGAAGCGGAAAATGGAGAGAACGCTGGCAATGAAGAACCTAAGTTGCAGTTCAGTTATGTGGAATGTCTGTTATACAGCTTTCACCAGTTGGGTCGGAAACTTCCAGATTTCCTAACGGCCAAACTGAATGCAGAGAAGCTCAAAGATTTCAAAATCAGGTGAGGTCTTCCTGTCCTTGGTAGAGATGGTAACTATCTTACAACTCTTAGATTTTGTTTCTGTGTTTTTTCTAAGAACACTTTACCCTACCTGACAGTATCAGCACTTACCAAGGTCTAAGTTCCCAGAAGCTCCAAGAGTTTAGATCTGGCAGGGAGGGGAAAAACCCAGAGGCAGCCCCATTTTTAAATCTGTGGAGTTTGGGAAAGAATCAGAGAATGTGAAATCCAAAAAGAAAAGTGGTTACGGACAAAAATGTCAATGAGCTAAGTTTCCTTTTCTGGGATTTTGACCTGTACTTTCCCCCTACTCAGGTACAACCACTTTGTACAGATTCTCATGTGTTCTGATTTCACTACAAGGGCCATGATTGAACTAGTTTGAAAAGCTCTCAATGAGACAAGCAGCTTAAGACATTACTCTTTAAATTAGTGATAAAATAGCTATTTTTCTGCATCAGAGATAATTTTACTACAGCAGAAGATCATTTGAGTAAACCAGTTCATGAGAGAGATGACATACTAATTACAACCAATTCTTCATTTAGGCTTCAGTACTTTGCACGAGGCCTGCAGGTTTATATCCGACAACTTCGCTTGGCTCTGCAGGGGAAAACAGGAGAGGCCTTAAAGACAGAAGAGGTAAGGGAACTGGCTGCTAGCTCCTGTAATAATACCACTTATATAAGTCTTAAATATGAATGATAATTTAGGCTACAAACTCGTGTTGAAATGTGAGATTTCACTTAAGTATAAATCTATGTTTAAGGTAGAATAATGACATTAGGAAATTTAACAACTTGCTAAGTTATATGAGAAACTTTTATCACTGTTGAAATAAGATGTTACCAAACTTAGGTGATACATGCCAGTTTTTACTGGTATTTAAGGGTCATAGTATTTTTAATTTCATATTTTTAAAACCCAGATATTTACAGTAGAATCAAAACTAAAGTTCCAATCTTTACCTAATTATAGGTGTTTGTGTTGTGATACTGGTTTTCCTTGAAGTCAGCTACTTTAATCATTCAACTCAGTCTTAATAAAACATTTTAATTGATTGTTTTGTCTTTCTACAACTTAAACTGGTTTATCTTTAAATGGTGTGAATGTAACATCCATTTCTCCTTTTCATATGAAGTACTTTATAAACCCAACCTGTTCAGGGACTGTATAAAAATTGTTTGCTTTCTTTGCCATTTCTCTATTTGTTTATAATAAAGGAATAGAAATAAACTTTATAAAGTCAACCAAGAAATTCTGTAACTGGGAAAGTTTTGGAAAGATAAACTATAATTACACTAGTTTTAACTTGGAGTGGAGTGTGCAACATAAAATGTTACTGAGGCTTTCTTTTTGTTTTGCAGAACAAGATTAAAGTTGTTGCATTGAAAATCACAAATAATATCAATGTTTTAATCAAGGTAAGTTTTCCTTACCCAACTTTTTCCCTGCTTTTTTTTTTTTTTTTTTAATTTTCGGTGTTGAGATTGTCATAGATCACCTCTCCATATTTCACAGCTGCAGTGCATTTTAATCTCCAGCAGGTCTCCAGAGGAAGTTGACTGCCCATCCTTCCTCTCCCATGGAGCAGCTGGTGGATTTGAACCATGTGCCCTTGAGCCCATAGCACAGCCTCCCACCACCGAGCCAGCAGAGCTCCTGTCCATGAATTTTTAAGTCTAATGGTACTTAACTGGTGGTACACTGGTAGAGTGCTCAGCTGGTAAATGACAGGTCAGCAGTTTGAACTCGCCAACTATTTGTAAGACAAATATACTGCAGTCTGCTCCTGTCAGGACAGCCCGGAACACTCTGTGGGGCACTTGGCACTTGCCCTGCAGGGTCACTGGGATTCAGAATCTATGCGACGCAATGGGATATTTAAGGAGAGATGCTATTATATCCTGATGTTTGACTTTTAGAACTCTGTTTACCTTTGCATTTCTTTGTGAGATGTCTGTAGCTTTTAAAGTCACAAATTTTTCATTTATTTAAAACTTAATGCTTGGAAACTACTGAAATAAGGGGAGAAAAACCAGTGTCCTCTGATTCAAAGGAAGAGAAACCATTAGACTTGGAGGTTTCTATTCATTTATCTGTTGATCTTTATGTCATTTTATTGGGTTCTTTTCTGTTATCAGTAAAACCCAGCTTTGTGCACACCAAGAATGGATTGTATGTTGTGAGTAGCACATGAAATGTTTTCACTAGACTTCTTTTAACTTGTTTGTTAAATGGGAGGCTTTCTCCACTATGGGTTCAGTTAAACCTTACCATTAAGTCATAATTTCTGGTCAGTTCTTTTTTTTTTTTTTTTTAATTTTTTTTTATTATTATTAAATTTTATTAGATTTAATGAACATTTACAGGGATTTTGGGTTTTCATTCCTTCATTGCTGCACCATTCTCTCCACCCTCCTCCCCAGTTCGTTCTTCTTCCCCCGCCATCCGAATGTCTGTTTTAATTGTCCAATTGCCACAGTGCTTATCAAAGTCAGTTCTGATTAATCTCCTTTGTCAGTGTGTCCTTTGCCATTCCCTATCACTCCTCCCTGAGAGAGACTTCACCCTGAGTCATAAGGAAAAGGGGATGGCGTATTCTCTTAGCTACTTCCTGCTGAAAAGGGACGCTGTGGGTTTCAGGGTGAAGATCTTCTCTCACTACTCTAAAGGGCCCCTTTGGCAGTAGGAAACACATAGACTATTATGGAGATTGATTTTGGAATTTAGATGCACTGTTACTGATTGTGATTAGCCGTACATGTTCATATCTTTAAAGATGTATCATGGGAGTGTTGCAACCTAGAAGACACAAATTTAACAAGTTATAAGTACATGAGTCAAAAATTATGGAAAAGTAAAAGATTCTTTCGTTGTTTTACAAACCCTACCCCAGGTCCCCTCCACCATGTAGCTATCGCTCTAGACTCCTGTGATGACAGAAATACCTAGTCACATATCTCTTTTAAACAGTTTTCTCCCTCCTCTGTTTCAATGCAGTATACATTATTGAACCCATCTTACTCAGTCTCTCCCCAACCCCGAGGTTAGTCCCATTCTACAACAGTGGCATCATGTAATATTTGTCCTTTTGTGACTGGGATATTTCACTCAGCATAATGTTCTCCAGAGTCAACCATTTTGAGTAATATTGCATGAATTCCTTGTCTTTTAATGCAGCATAGTATTCCATTGTCTGGTCAGTTCTTGATCAGTTCTTTTTAACCTTCATATGCATAACAAATATAGTTAACAATGAAGAGAAGTGGAATCCCAGAATACTTAATTGTGCTCATGCAAAACCTAGACTAAAAGGCTATTGTGAGAACAGAGTAAGAGAAGACTACATGGCTTAAAATTAAGAAAGGTTAAAAAAGAAATATATTAAGAAAGGTTTGCATCAGGATCCTTTCTCTATAGCTGTTTAATAGTTATACTGAGCAGTAAATCTCATAGGCGGAGACTGTCTATCTTTTTTCTGCATAGACCTGGGGAATCAAACTGTGAACCTTTGGGTTAGAAGCTCAACCCCTTAGCCCTAAAGCCTCCTTCTAGAACTTGCTAGTAGGGCAACAGATTGGTGTAATATGAAAGAAAAAAAATTGTTTGATTTTAGGTTAGAATTATTTAGACCTTTATTTTAGTCCTCCGCTTACAAGTTAAGAAAACTAAGCTAGTGACTTCTCCTAAAATCTTGCTATAGAAATACCTCCTCACTGGATCCAATCTTAGCTGAAGATTTTTTTTTCATATTTTTTTATTATTAATTTTAATGAACATTTACAGAGATTTTGGATTTCCATTCATTCATTGTTGTATTTTTTCTCCCTGCCCACCCCTCCCCCAGTTCGCTCATCTCTTTGAAAAGTAAAAGAAAAATTCTTTCATTGTTATACCATCTCCCCCACCAGTCCACTCCACTATGCAGCCTTTATTCTGTACTCTTGTCATGATAGTAATACCTAATCATGTATCACCTTTAAACAGTTCTCTCATCTGTTTCAATGCAGCATACATTATTTATCCCATCTTTCTCAGTCACCCTCCAACCCTGATGTCAGTCTCGCCTTACAACTGTGGCACTATGCAATATTTGTCCTTTTGTGACTGAGATATTTTACTCCGCATAATGTCCTCCAGGGTCATCCATTTTGTGTAATATTTAATGAGTTCCTTGTTTTTGTTCTATCCATTCATTTGTTGATGAGCACTTGGGTTGTTTCCAACTCTTTGCTATTGTGAACAAAGCCGCTCGGCTGAAAATTTTTTAGAGTTGTGCTTTTGATAAATCTTTCACCAATTTTGTCTCTTCAGGATCTCTTCCACATTCCCCCTTCTTATAAGAGCACAGTAACATTATCCTGGAAGCCCGTACAGAAGGTTGAGTTGGGGTAAGTATATTTTAAAAAGATTTGGATAGGATTTATAACTTACATGATTTGTAAACATCAAAAGCAATTTGGTTGTTACATTTAGTGTACAAAATTTAAATTGTTAAATTATTTTTTAAAAGTGAATATATTATTTAAAAAACAAAACCCAACTCTAGTGTTTTCAAAGTATACTAGTAAAATGCAACCCTAAAACATCTGTGGCACTAGTAGACTTTGTGACATATGAATCATTTTGATAGAATGTGTAGTGTATTTTAAGGACTTGTCAATGCTGATAATAATCTCTCTATAGCCACGCGACAGTTAATTTGATCACATCAAAATGTTATTTCCTTTTTCCTAGTTTTGACTGTTATTTCAGTTTATCTTGCTATGATCATATAGTGGTTAGTATTCTGCATTGTGACTATCATTTTAGTGTATCTGTAATAGCTGTTTTTGCTAGATTATTAACATACTGCTAATAGATCCTCAGGTGTAAGTGAATGTTTTTTATTCCTCTTCTTCCTACTTACTGTTACAGGCAAAAGAGAGCCAGTGAAGATACAACTTCAGGTTCACCACCCAAAAAATCTACAGGACCAAAAAGGGATGCCAGACAAATTTATAATCCTCCTAGTGGGAAATACAGCAGCAATTTGAGCAACTTTAATTATGGTGAGCGTTTCCGTTTGGGTACAAGTAGTATGTAATATTGGGCAGAAATTTTGTTATACTTAAAATTTTACTGTTAATGATATATTGTACCATACTCTTTCAGGTGACTTCTGTAAATTAACTTGGGGATTTAGGGCATTTGGGGGGGGGGGAAATCCTTCTCTCCCGCCCCCCTCCTTAACTCACCCTTGTACTCTGTGATTTGAGCCTGCATCACTGAGTAAATAGAAAAATAGGCCTCTTGGTCTCCAGTAAAAGAAAGGAAGTTAGCCAGAACCACCCATGTTTTGCCTTACATTTTCATTTTAAGGCAAGATATTTGTGTGTTTTTTTCTTTCCTCCCCCCACAAGGCAAGATATTCCTATATTAATTCTTCTTTTGAGATACAGTTCTTCACCTCTTTTATCTTTTAAGAATATAAAAATTATTAAGGTTCTCTGGTGGCCTAGTGCCAAGGAACTGCAACTACAATCCCAGAGGCGCACGGTTCGAACCCACCAGATGCTCTGCTGGGGAAGGAGGAACAATCTCCTGTACAAGTCAGATCTGATTTGACGGTACACGCGTGCGCGCGCACACACACACACACACACAAATTAAAAAACAAACAAAAAATTATTAAGGTGTAATTTTAACTGGAAGTAATGGATATTTTTTAAGTTGGTAAAGTTAGTAATAGAAACTTAAAACCATTGAAAAGACCATGGAAATAGAAAGAGATCCTTTAAGATGAAATTGGAATTGGTTGGAAGCATTTTAATAGTTTGTTATTAGCATAGAACTGCTGATATTGTTATCAGTGAAAATATTAAGTATGTTGATAGTAAATTAACTGAAGGATAGAGGATGACTTTATTTTCCTCACTAATATGGTACCAGCTGGAAAGAATGTGTAGATGTATGTAATTATTGTTGTATGCCATCCAGTTTGGAACCGACCCATAGCTGACTGTACAGTGGGTATTCAGAAGCAGTAAATCACACAAGAGGAAAGTGCCTATCTTTCTCCTGCAGAGCAGCTGGTGGATTTGAGCCATGTTTCTTTGGGATTGTACCATGGCTGCTTACCACTAAGCTACCAGACCTCCCTATAAATGTGTGCTGGTGGGGTGTGTGTGCTCGCATGCGCGCGCACGCTCACTCTCTCTTCTCTCTGTGTGTCCATGTCTACAGACACACTCACACTCTGTACATACATAGGTGTATAGACATGTGCACACACTACTAGTAGTATAGGGAGCTTTACTGACCTAGTATTACCTATAATCCCAATGGGGCACAGTTCAAATTCAAGAGCTGCTCTGTAAGGATGAGAAGTCTCCTCCCATACAGTTTACTGCCTCTGAAAACCTGCTGGAAGTTCAGCTATGAGTCGGTTCTTGAAGGCACACAGTAACCGTAGTAGTAGAGGCACCAGCCACTCTGAGGGAGAAAGATGGGCAGTCTCCTCCAGTGTGATTTACTGCCTCTTAAAACCTGCAGAAGTGTCATGAGTTGGCTCTGAATTGGCGGCACATAACAACTAGTAGTATACGCATCTATCAACACATTTTTCCCAGTGGTACTATATTCATGGAAAAAAATTACCTTTCTTCATAGATGGGGCAAAATATAGTAAAAAAAAATGTAGGATTATGGATTGAAAACAGCAACAAACTCTTTTTACTGCTACTGACATGATTGCTGCAGGTAGTAAGTTTGAAAGTTTAATGAAGAGACTTGACTCTGGTTTGATGAAGCACCTAATTAAGAACTTAAGTATGATGAAAGGTACAGTTTCAGTGGCTTTTTTCACTGAAAAGGTTCCTTTGAGAAAGAGTTCTCTGGAGCTGTCAGAGACTGACCAATGCACTTGACTTTGATTTTACCCAATGAAACAAGTGACTCCATTTATTTACTTTTTCCCCGCCTCTTCCCTATAGATGTTTCATTTCCAGTAATAAGCTGGCCACTATCTGTATACCTAGCACTTTAGCAGTACTCTGTGCAGCTCACGTTGCTACAAAAGCAGTGAAAAAAGCTATCCTCACCTGTGTCTATATTTATTTGAGTCTTAGGGGTTGAAATATTGGGACCAATTAATAAGAAAATGTCTACTTCATTTGAAAAGTGTATTTTCAACCTAGTCTAATTTTTTAAAATTGATAGACTAAGATGTTTTATATAAGTAGTACTAACTTTTAAAAACTGTTAGCTTTTGTACTAATTTCATTTTAAGTATAATAAATTTTATAGTTTCAGTAACTGCCTTTGATAGTGGTGGGGGCCAAAATGCAAACTAAGAAGGGGTAAAATTTTTATAATATTGTCTCCTTAAACTTCACTAATAGCACATTTAATTGAGCTGTTTTCATGAATGTATTTGGTACCTTGCCGTATGTATGTATGTACAGCAGCTGTGCAGAATAGCAGAAGAACCAGCTCTGCTTTTACAGAGCTCACTGCTACATTCTTCCGGGTTTGCTTTACTATAAAGTCCTGAGCAAGACCTAAACTCTTGTTCGCTTTTTCTCAGAGCAGAGAGGAGCCTTCAGGGGAAGTAGAGGTGGCCGAGGCTGGGGAGCACGAGGAA